TTACATTAAGGCTTTGGGCCGAGGCTCAGCAGACTGGTTCCTTGCTCTCAAACATTTCTCTTCTCCTAGAGCCAGGCTTATGGCTGACCACCTGTGATCCCCAGGGTTCTCTATGCAAATCCCTGCTCAATTCCTAACCCTGCCCTCCTTAAATCCCCGCTATTATTACTCACTTCCGGTTATCATTTCTCCATATGGCTCCTAATCCTCTTTAAAATGATATATTTATACCTCAGTAGCTCAGCAATAATTAAGGGCAGGTCATGGGCAACTGACCCACGTGAAAAGCCAATTGATTTTTAGATTCCTTGGCCAGGGGCTACATCGAGTTCCATTTCATTCATACAGTTTCATAACTTGAGCACGGGTGCTGTGCTTTAGTCACTCCTCGGTGTTGCTTAAGTATCAGTAGATGTGAAGAGACAGGGATGATGACACCTCCTCCACACCAAGCCAGTTAGGGTGCCGGTGGCCCAGAGCCACAGCAGCTGCTGGGCGCATGTTGTCTTCTGGTGTGAGGAGATGGAGAAAAGGTTGGAAATCGTTGGGCTGGGAGATCTTCAAGGCCCATTCCGTTGCCATTTCACACCAACAGGGATCTGCTGGCCCAGGCACTCTCAAAGGAACCAAAGGATTGTCCTGTAAAATTAAGCTCTGATGGCCCTCATTCATTCAGCCCTGACTGTGTGCTGAGCTTTGCTCAGTTACTCAATAAGTATTTGAGTTCCTTGTATGTGCCAAGCACTGTTCTGGACCCTGGGAATTCATTGTGTATGGTGAAGTCCTCTCCTCAAGGACGTTGGACTCTGGTGAAGACACAATAAATGGGGGGTGGGGGGGTGGGGGCGGGGAAGAATAAGATTTAGTTAAGTTCTGTGAATAAAATAAGATAGTGTCAGAATTACTTGAATGGCTACCTGAGGTGGGGTTGGGACATTTCCAAGGAGAGGAGAGTGGTCCAGAAGACAGCCATGTGAAGCCACGGGGGAAGAGCAGCGGGAAGGTCAATGGCACGGCCCCGTGTGTGTCTGGGGACCAGGACAGAGGAACATGAAGGCCAATCAGGCAAGGACTAGATCACATACTGCATCGTGGCTGCGGGAAGGAGTGCAGATTTAATTCTGAGTGTGACTGGGAAGCCACAGGAAGGTTTGGAGCAGGAGAGTGACCGATCTGGTTTAGGCTTTAGAACATACTACTGTCCAGGGGGCAGAAGCACCAGGTAGGACCTGCTGCTGGGGACCAGGTGTGAGGACATGGCCTAGGCGAGAAATGCAGTAACGGAGGCAATGAGAAGTGGCAGGATTCAGAATATGGTTTGGAGATAGAGCTGACGGAATGGCCTACTAGTAGATTGAAATGAGATCTAAGAGAAAGAAGATTGAAGAATGGGTCTTAGTTTTGGGGCTAAGCAACTGGGTAAATGGTAATGCTATTGCTGAGGTGGAAAAGGGTTGGGGAGGAATCTAGGGAGGGAATCAGGAGTTTGATTTTGGCCTTGCCATGTTTGCAATCTGAGTAGAGATGTCTCTTCGGCAACTAGTTTCATAAATCAGAGTTCTGGGGAGAGGTCCAGGCTGCAGGTACAAATTTGGAAGCGATCAGCCTGCAAATGGTATGTAATGTGATGAGTGAACTCCCCTGGGGAGGGCATAGGTGGGGAGGTGAGAAGAGAACTTCCAGAACAAGCCTGGAAGCCCCAAGCACAAAGAGATTTGTTCAACAGGAGGAGGTGCTAGCAAAGGAGATGAGTAGTCAGTGAGATTGGAGTGAACTCAGAGGAGTGTGGTTTCTTGAAACCTAGAGTGTTTGAGGAAAGAACTCGTTGATTGAACTGGGATGAGTCTATTGACAGACTGAGTGAAAAAAAACAGGTCTTTGGTGACCACTTCTCCATGGAATGACAAGGATGAGCATCCCACTGGAGTAAGTTGGAGAGAGAATAAGAGGAGGACATGGGGCACCTGGGTGGCTCAGTCGGTTGAGCGTCCGACTTCACTCGGGTCATGATCTCGCGGTTTGTGAGTTCAAGCCCCACGTCAGGCTTGTTGCTGTCGGCCTGTCAGTGCAGAGTCTGCTTTGGATCCTCTGTCCCCCTCTCTCGGCCTCTCTCTGCATGTGCTCTTCCCCCCCCCCCAAAAAAAATACTTTAAAAAATGTTTAATTTATTTCAAAATAAGGAAGGAAGGGGAAAAATAAGGGGAGGAGAGAGGGAGGGAGGAAGGAAGGAAGGAAAGGGAGGGAGGAAGGAACGAGGGAAGGAAGGAAGAGAGTACAGTCCAGACTGGATTATATTCATCTTTATACCAATGGGTGACAAAATATTTTTAATATTTATTTACTGAATATTTATTTTATGACTCGTGAAGGCAAATCATATGAAAGTCCCATAATGGGACCCTGAATGTGGAGTCAAGGAAGGAGTTTTGTGTTTTGTTTTGTTTTGTTTTGTTTTGTTTAATAAAGGTGATATTAAGGCCGTTCTCAGGCAGGAATGATCCATTAGAGAAGGATAAACTGAGGATGGAGAAGAGAAAAGGAATAACTGGGAGTGAAGTGCTTGGATAGGCAGAGAGGAGACCTAGCTGACGAGCTTACAGGTGGAGAGGGAAAGGGCCACTGCTTCCATCAACCCAGGAAGAAGGTCAAGTGTGTGGGCACAGGTGCAGAGAAATCTCCTGGGAAGATGAAGTGGTCGTCTGATGCATCTGTTTCTCTGTGAAGCAAAGCTTGTAACAAGGTCATCAGCTGAACGCGAGAGTGAGTGAGGTCTGAGGGCAGGCGGCTTGTGGAAAAGTCATCTCAGGAGGGGGAGAGTGACATCAGCGGGGACTAGCATGTACTACCGTCACCTCCTGGGTGCAGGTGAGCTGTTAGCAAACGGTTAGTGGCTTTAGCCAAGGTTGGGTTTTGCCAACCAAGTACTTAGAGGGAGAGAGGAGCACAAAGGTCAAGGTCATGGCAAGGAAATGGCAAGGGCCCTGGGCCGTGGGTGAGGATAAGGAGGAAAGCGAGGATACGAACAGGGTGACGGATGTTAAAAAACAAAGTGATCAGCAAGTTGCAAGTCTCCGGCTGGTGCGTTGTTGGGTGAAGGTGTTAGAGCTAGAGGGAGGCCACGGTGATGTTTGAATGTTTCGGAGGTGGTTCAGAAATGCATGACTGCGAGGCCTATGGTAGCGGTGCCCAGACGTCAGCGTGCGTTGGAAGTACGTGGAGGGCTTGTCCAAACACAGATCGCTAGGCCCATGCGCAGGGTTCTTGGTTCAGTAGGGGAGAGGAGACCTGAGAATTGGCATTTCTAACAAGCTCCCAGTTGCTGCAGCTGCTGCTGGCCCAAGGGCCAAAGTGAACGGGAGGCCGAGGTGGGGTGGAAGAAGAGCTCAGGGACCTTTGAGGCCGGAGCGTGGGATGGATCCACTATCCACCTGGCTGTCACGTCACCAAGCTGGTGCTCTGAGACAAAGCAGTGAAGTCACCAGTGAGGGCAAGTGGGTAGAGTCACCCGTGGCTTTAAAGAGATTGGCATTTTTGAGGGAGAAAAGAGGAAAAAGTGGAGGCAACAGTTAGGAGCAGGGAGGCGATGAGCCGTACTCTCCTGACCCCAAAGGATGTGGCAGAAAGATCCATGAGTGCTTGGAAGGATGACAGGAAGTGGGGCTCCTACTTCACGTGGGGCGGTGAGGCACTGGGCGGCTCAGTCCCTTAAGCATCCGACTTCAGCTCAGGTCAAGATCTTGCGGTTTGTGGGTTCCAGCCCCACGTCAGGCTCTGGGCTGACAGCTTGGAACCTGCTTCAGATTTTGTGTCTCCCTCTCTCTCTTCCCCTCCCCTGCTTGTGCTTTCTCTCTCTCTCTCTCTCTCTCTCTCTGTCTCAAAAATAAAAACCTGATGGGGCGCCTGGGTGGTGCAGTCGGTTAAGCGTCCGACTTCAGCCAGGTCACGATCTCGCGGTCCGTGAGTTCGAGCCCCACGTCGGGCTGTGGGCTGATGGCTCAGAGCCTGGAGCCTGTTTCCGATTCTGTGTCTCCCTCTCTCTCTGCCCCTCGCCCGTTCATGCTCTGTCTCTCTCTGTCCCAAAAAATAAATAAACGTTGAAAAAAAAATTTTTTTAAACCTGACAAAAAATGTTTTTAAAGGAATGGCAAAAACTTAGAAGAACTTCAAGAGATTAGGGATGAATGGAGGTGGGGGGCAGGGGGGTACGTGCACGAGGGAGTCAGGCCTGGGGGTGTACAGAACAATTCGGGAGTGACTGGTCAACGGGAGACAGGCAGTGTCACCCCTGAGATTACAAGACCCCCTGGAACAACTCCTAAAATCTAGAAAAGTGCATTCGATTTTCTGGTTTCTGGAAGGTATCATTTTAATATTACATTAAGATAAGCACGAATATATCATTGATTCGGAACAAATTCGCAAACATAAAAGTAAGAGCCTTCAGAGATCTTTTAAGCCGCGCTCACAGATCCTTCTCACATATTCACACTTAGGAGAGAAAGTAGGGAACGCCTTGTTTCTAGGTCTTGGGTGAAGGGTGTTGGAAGGAAGCATTTGTACTTTAAGTTGGAAAATGGAAAACTTGAAGACTCAGGGGTGTCTGGCCCTGAGCTCGGGGACGGAACTGCCCACCTGGAGGCCTTCACATCATAGAATCTGCTGCTTCTCACTGGCCCATGTGAGTGAGGCCCAGATCACCAGCGGGCTCTATCTTACGGGCTAGGAGTTGGTCTCGCTCCCTCTCTGGACTTCAGAGTCTCCTGTGTCTCCAAGATGGGCCTCTCTGGAACAGCACGGTGCCCAACTAATGGAACAGGGAGCATGTGTGAGATGGTAGGGTGTCCATTTCCTGCCCTTCTCCCCCCTTCAGAATCTGCCAGGGTGGCGTAGTCACGGGGTTGACAAGAGTGAAGGGAGGGGTGAGGCTGGGGGAGCTTAGCTGACTGGGGGTCAGACCTTCCAGGGGAATCTTCTAATGATCTTAGGGCGCTTAGCTGGCCCGGCCCCGCCCCCTGCCGCCCGCCCCTGCGCTGCCCAGTGGCCAGGAGATGATGAAGAGGCCGGCCAGACAGAGGAAAGGGAGGAAGAGGGCCCCGGCCTAAGGCATCAATCGGCAGAAGCCCAGGAAGAGGCACAGACCCCCGACATCCCTCCAGGCCGCGATGGGGCAGCAGTTCAGCTGGGAGGAGGCGGAGGCGGCCGGCGAGATGGACGTGGCCGAGCTCCAGGAGTGGTACAAGAAGTTCGTGGTGGAGTGCCCCAGTGGCTCTCTCTTCATGCATGAGTTTAAGCGCTTCTTCAAGGTCACAGGCAACGAGGAGGCCACCCAGTACGTAGAGGGCATGTTCCGAGCCTTCGACAAGAATGGGGTAAGGCACTGAAGGGGGTGCGGGGGACAGCTTGTTTCCCACTGAGCTGAAGGAGCATCACCGGTGGGAGGGAGCGGCCCGTCCCCAGTCCCCCTGCTCTGCTCTCCATTTCCTGCTCACGTTTCCTGTCTCTCTTTCCCCAAACTCTTCTCTCTCCCCATCAATTGGTCCCTTCCCATCTTTCCTTCTCTCCTCTCCATCTCATCTTCTCTCCCCTGTCTCTCTGCTCTTCTGCCTCCCTCTGTCCACCTGCTGAGAGGAGGTGGGCTGGGCAGAAGGGCACACAGTCCAGTCCTCAATTGGTGTATTTTTGGCCAAGGCTCTACAGCCCAAGGACCTGGTCTCCCACACCCACCAGAGCCCCTGTCACTCTAAAGATAAGGAGCTAAAGAGCTGTCCCAAAAGGATGAGCTCTCTTGGTATAGACTGTGATCCCCCTTCGTTGGGGTCCTTGGAATTGAGACTGGTCAGGTCTTCCCTTCCAGCATGCTGGGAGGGCCTCCTGCACTGACCGGGCAGTTGAACGGATCATGTAAAAGTCCCTTACAACTCTCCAAGCCATGGAAGATTCCATGAGATCATTCCACCACAGTATTTCTTTAAGCCTTCCAGTGGCACCTGCAGCTGAGAAGATACTGCATTTTGTCAATCCACCCCTGGAAATAGAATTCAGAAATGGAAACCCCTTCGTTATTTAAGGCTTTCAGTCCAGGGCCTCCACGACCCTTCAAATCATTCGATTTGCCTCAAGTACCTACTTCAGCCCCCCCCCACCGAGTTGAGGGGGGGTGGTTGTTGGACCTAGATAATTAATCTGGGGAAAGCCTCTGTACTTTTCTTTCTTTTTTTTTTTT